TTAACCTCTTTCATGATTTTGAACACTTCTCTCAAGTCCTTTGCATGATCACTCGCCTTTTGGCTCTTCACGGTCATATCATCAACATAGGCTTCCATGTTCCTTCCAAGCACTGCCCGAAATACCTTGGCCACCATACGCATGTAGGTAGCCCCAAAATTCCTCAACCCGAAGGCCATCACTAGATAACAGAAAACTCCTTCGGGTGTGATGAATGAGGTCTTCTCCGCGTCATCAGGGTGCATGGAGATCTGATGATATCCCCTGAATGCATCCATAAAGGAGAGGAGTTCGCACCCGGCAGTTTGGTCCACAAGCTGATTTATGATGGGCAGAGGAAATGGGTCCATCGGGCAAGCCTTATTCAAGTCCGTATAGTCTACGCACATCCTCCAGGTGGGCAGCTTAGGGGCCAAAACCACATTGGCGAGCCATTCCGGATACTGCACCTCCCTTATGTGTCTGATGCCTAACATCATGTTCACCTCACCCTTCACGAATTCCTTCCTGTCCAGAGATGGGTATGTTCTTTTCTCCTTCATGAGCGCTATCTCTGGATCTACGTTCAAGTGATGAACCGCTATGCTTGGATCGAGCACAGGCATATCCTCAAGCCTCCAAGCGAAAACCATTTTGAACTCTTCCAAAACTCGAACTATATTTGCTTTCAGGTCGGCCGGGAGTCCCGCCCCAATTTTAACCCGACGTTCTGGCCGGGAAGGGTCAACCCCGACCTCCTCAAGCTCTGAGACGGGCTGAGCTCTGAGTTGCCCGTCCTCATATTTAGATAGGTCTTGTGCAATGACATTGATCCTTACATCGCTTCTCCCGTGAGCCTTGCAGGCTCTCACATAACAACTTCTGGCCATTTTCTGGTCTCCTCTTAGTGTGCCAATTCCAGATGGAGTGTAGAACTTCATGCACAAATGAGCCTGGGAAACAATGGCTCCCAGGTCTTCCAATAGAGGTCTGCCCAGGATGGCTTTGTGCACGCTTTGCAATTGGACACCGATGAAATCTGCTTCAATCTCTCATACACAGGGCTCCGATCCAACCTGGATCTCGAGGGTTATCATACCCTCAGGCTCAACTGTATCTCCAGTAAAACCCGAGAGGGGAGTTCTCACCTGCTTGAGAGCCCCCTTATGGAGCTTGATTTCTAGGAAAGCATCCATGTAAAGTATGTTGACTCAACTGTCTTTGTCTATCAATACCCTGTGAACAATCGCGTCCATGACCTCCATCTTGATCACAAGTGCATCCCTATGTGGCGGGGGACACGGGGGAAGATCATCATCTGTGAAGGTTATAGACTCACGCTTCTGTTTTTTGTCGGCGGGAAGACAATTGATTTCGTCGACAAACAGCTGGCGACTCCATTTCTTCCTTCCCCCGCTGTGTCCCCTCCCACAGGTCCACCATAGATCTGGTTGACATGTGGTCGTTTTTGCCTACCTGAATCTTCCCCTTCTTTGTCATCTTCGAACTGGGCCCTTACCTCCCTTTTCTTTGAAGTTGAGTCCGGCGCGTCCTTCTCCTTGCTCCAGGTGTTTTTCTTCGGTGGCTGCTGCCCCTGCTGGGCTTTCTTCACAAACTGGTCCAGTTGACCCTCTCGTATGAGCCTTTCCACGTACTTCTTCAGAATGTAACAATCGTCAGTCTGATGAGTGTCGCTCTTGTGGATCTTGCAGTATTTTTTGGGGTTCTGATTGTGGACGATATTGCACCCCTCGGGGCGGCAATCAGCCCCTGTTTCACCGCGTAATCCAGGACAATACTCACTTGATGCGCAAACGGAGAAAATTCTGGCTGGCTGGCTAATGGCCCTTCAAGAAAACGTGATTTGACTTTTCCCCAACCTTTCTTCTTCTTCTTTATGGATCCACTACCCTTGTCCAAATCAAGGGTTTCCTTCTCCGAGGACTTCTTCTGCTCGCCCTCAGGTTGGCACTTCCCGGTTTCCTCTTCCTTCTCTTTTCTCTCAGCTTGCTCTACCCCGGCTTGTGCGTTGGCACGCAACAGGGCTTCTTCATGTGAGGTTGGAGGGTTTCGCACAAAGTCTTTGTACAGCTCACCCGATCTCAGGGCATTGATGAGTATAACGACGACGGACTTGTCATCCAAATCGTCTATCTTCACTGACTCATCTCTCCATCGGACTAAGAAGTTAGCCAAGTTCTCTTGGGATCCCTGTATGATCCCCAAGAGGTGAGAGAAATTATTCTTGGAATCCTTGGAGCTGGCGAATCGGGTCACAAAAGCATGGGCCAGCTCCCTAAAGTTCCGGATCCTTCCATTAAGTATGGAATCATACCAATCCCGGGTTGGCCCGTTGAGCGTTACCGAAAACCCCCTACACTTGATGGCGTCTTCATATCCCATCATCACCATGTAAGCCACATACCGGGAAACATGGTGTTGTGGGTCTGTCTTCCCTCGGTAGGCCTCTATATTGCATGGCCTGTACCCTTGCGGTAACGGAGCATCCATGATCTGACGAGTGAATGGTTTGGGAATACTTACCTCATGATTAGGGTTGATTCTAGCCTCCACTTCCCTCCGGAGCTCATCTAGCCTCCTCCTGAGGTCATTGTTGCCATGGTCTGCTCGTAGCCGCGGTGGGGATCAGCGATTTCCGCGAGCCTGCCGATTGGCGTTGATCTTGTTTATGAGATCTCCCCCACGCATGTTACGACAGTGGGATGAAACAGTCGTGGATGATGCCTCCTCACTCGACTCAGGTCAGGATGAGATCCTGTCATGCACGGAGACTCTCTGCTCACCGATTCGGTCCATCACTGAGGTCCTCGGGGTTAGCCTGGAGTGATGGGACCGCTGAGATCGGACCGGCGGAGAGTCCCTCGTAGACTGCCCACGTCTCTCTTCCTCCTGCCGGGGCACAGACGGAACCCGGTGAGGGGAAGGTGACCTCATATCCGCATTAGGGATGATACCTTGGAAGGCGGTGGTCAGGGTCTCCACTTCCCTTTGAAACGTCACCAAACTCGCTAAAACCTGAGCCGGATCAACGTTGGGGATACGATTTCCAGTGCCTGGTGTCTGGAACTGCGGCGGTCGCGTCGCTGTTCGCCTGGAACCTCCAACGCCTTGGAGATAGTTTCTCAAATCCTCCTGTCCTGTTGCATTGTCGTTACGCCTCTGGAAATCACTCTGCTGTGACCTAGAACCTTCATCCTCGATCACCACCTGATCGAAACGATTACTGTGGATCGTTGCGCTTACCGCTACACTAAAAGCAATCGCTGATAGTGAAGCACGCTCCTCCCCTTTTATAGCACAAGCGAAGCGCCACGCGGTTCGATTGCACCGGCAGGCTGGCTGTTGCTGGCACCGCATACCTGCGGCCCAACAATCTCCCCCCAGCACCTGCCAGCCTACAACTGCGCAGCATGCTGTTGCTGGGGGTCGAACCCGTGACCTTGACTCTGATACCACTTATGGATCGTTGCGCTTACCGCTACACTAAAAGCAATCGCTGATAGTGAAGCACACTCCTCCCCTTTTATAGCACAAGCGAAGCGCCGCGCGGTTCGATTGCACCGGCAGGCTGGCTGTTGCTGGCACCGCATACCCGCGGCCCAACAATTACCGCCTTGATTGCTACCCACACGGTTGTGGCTATTGGATCCAACCATTGTTCGTCATAGATCGGGCTCTCAATGAAAGCACAAAATGATGGAGTTTAATCCAACTACGAGAGCTATATTCTACGAAAGCAGATGAAAATATGGCAGCGTAAGGCAATATTTTATTGATTGGACTTTCGATCCCCTTTCAGGAGGTTTACAAGTGATCTTTATAGGCTAAGGAACTAGTGTTTTAAAATGAAACTGATATAATAAATGCTATTAATTACACATTAGTTCGAATGGGACTTTTGTAACGTCTTGACCGTTTATGCAATGATTGTTCCTTTATTCCCATGTTCCTGTCGTTAACTCCTGCCAGCTGCCGATCTAATGATAGCGTGCCACATCAGCCCTAGGAATATTCCAGCCTCACCATAACTCCGCCCAGGCTCAAGGCCTGCTTCCCAGCCTGACCTGGTTGTGGGTTCCTCTTGTGGGCTTGATTCCTAGTTAGACCCAGTGGTTTTCTAACATTAATCCCGTTTAAGGGCTAATCCCGTTAAGGGCTTGATCCCATTGTGGGCTTTTGGGTTGTATTTCCGCAGTTGGGCCATGGTTGAATCCCATGGTACCATCACTTATATTTCCCGTATTACTAATTACTAATATAAATATATACCTAATATACTCCAGGGTAATATTTATTAAAGAATATTTTGTTATATACGGAGTATTTTTTACATTGGGCCGCGGGCAACCTGTTTAACTCATGGATTAGGTGGGTCGGGTTAGGGTTGTAGAAATCTTGGCCCATCACTAAATGTGTTGGCCCGACCCAACCCATACAAAGCATAACCCGTCACGAGTTGGGTGGGGTGACTAGTTTGACAGCTCTACACACGAGTGGAGTAACTAGTACTACCTCCGTCCAATTTTATGTGTCTCATTTGGTTTGGACACAATTGTTATTAAAGTGATTGAAAAGGTAAAAGTTGTGCTTGAGATTTGAGTATAATAAAGTGAAATGTTGTGAGCCATACATTTCTTTCCAAAAAAGGAAATGTGACATTTATTTTGGAACAACCCAAAAAGGAAAGTAAGACAAGTAAAATGGAACGGAAAGAGTATATGATTAAAAATACGACAAAATACGTTTTACTCCTCAAAAAGATCTTATTTAGTTCTATTAAAAATAATGTAATTAAAGTTTATCAAAATAAGAGTGCATAATCATATTTTGAAAATAAAACAATGATAATTCTATTTATGAACATTATTTTAATTTTAGTGTTACTATTTAGAGAATTTTTTCTTTATTTTTGTGTTCCTTTTGACCCCTTTGACCCTCTTCGGTGACAGACAAACCCAACCAGTAAAGCTGACTGGCTCCATATGATGTCTGAATTACCAAACTACCCAAGAGGCCTTGAGAGCTGACACCCGCCTCATGTCTTCTTTTCATGCGTTTCTCCTTCACCTTCCTTCTCAGATCACTACTGATCGCGTCAAATCAAATTAGATTCTTTATATGTAAATTCATAGACAAACATGCACGTATAGCTTTTTTCTATCTATACTCACTAAATTCACGCATATATACACGCATTCAATTCACGCATGCATACACCCGTGGCCGTGGGGTATAATTTGCTCGGATTGTCTGGATTCGAAAACCCAGTTCCTGAATCGAGGAGTTTCAGTTTAATCGTTCATATATCCCTATACTTTTTCGTTTTTTTGCTGGAGAATTTATTACACTGATCTAGATTACGGTAAGAAGAGGAAGATAGGGTTCGGATCGGATGATCTGATTTTGATTGAATATTGAGTTGGAGAAGATAGAAAGAATGCCCCAGGATTCAGGGTCGGAGGTGGACCCGGAAGATTCTGAATCCGAAGCCGAGTTCATTGAGGTTGATCCTTCCGGTCGCTATGGTCGGGTTAGTAATCTGCTTCTAGTTTTTTGTCTTTCAATGCCCGTGCAACTTCTTTTTTAGTTGCTATTTCAAAATGATTAACGCAACACTTTATGTTGGCTTTTTATTCCATTATTATAGACATCTAAAACCGTTCCTTTATCTCCTCACAATAGTAATACTGTTTTAAATCAACAAGGATCCCCTTTTGATTGAGATGACGATTTCAGAATGATCACCTGAGGATTTCTTTTTTTATGTAAAGGATAAAGGTTGGGAGTATATTTGGCCATGTGCTTTATGAACTGTAAATAACCCATAATTTTCAGTGATCTGAGTACATTGTTGCAAATTGCAGTACAAAGAGGTTCTAGGAAAAGGAGCTTTCAAGAAAGTGTATCCTTTTTGCAAGTTTATATGACTTGTGCATAGATAAAATGAGCTACTTTTGGTATTCCACTTTGTTGTGCGTGTGCTCGAACATGCAAGGTTGATAATCCTTGACTTGATTTTTGGGGGATATATAGATATAGAGCCTTTGATGAATGGGAGGGAATCGAGGTTGCTTGGAATCAAGTTAAGGTCACAGATTTACTGAGGAATTCTGTGGACTTGGAGCGTCTTTATTCTGAAGTCCATTTGTTGAAAACTCTCAAGCACAAGAACATTATCAAGTTCTACAACTCATGGGTTGACACCAAGAATGAGAACATTAACTTTATCACCGAAATATTTACTTCAGGAACTCTAAGGCAGTAAGTTGAAGTGGCACTTTTAGTACTTATTGCTTAATTCATGTGTAACTCTTAAGGTTACACTGATTGACATCCCCACAGCTTAAAACACATGGTCGTTATCTTCTGATTTTTGAAACCTTGCAAATTGTCCCTTCATAATATTTTTCAAAAGGTAAATTGCTCTTTTGGGGTGTTCCTTTATGTTATGTAAGATTAGGGGAAGGTGATATAAGATTACATGAATGTAGATTTACCTATGTCGTATGAGATTACATGAATGTTACATTACCTGATGTCTATATTTTCTTAGCAATCTGAATACTCGAACCACAAAAGTTAATCTTTACATTAGCTTATTCTAATGTCTAACCGAACAAGGTCACTGACACTGCATTCTCAACATTACCAAAGTAATTTCATATTACACGAACCCAACACCGCCTGAAGTTTTCTCAGGAAATCACACAGATAATACGGGGAATAATATGTATTTTACCCTTTTCTTTTTCTTTAGCTTTCTGAGTATGATTTTGCATCTAATTTTTGATACATGAAAGTTGCCTTTCTAAATGGTTATTTAGGTATCGTAAGAAACATAAGAAGGTGGAAGTGAGAGCAATGAAGAATTGGTCTAGGCAGATACTAGAGGGGCTTTCCTACCTTCATAGTCACGACCCTCCAATTATTCATAGGGATCTTAAGTGTGACAATATTTTTGTAAATGGTAACCAAGGCGAAGTAAAAATTGGTGACTTAGGACTGGCTGCCATTCTTCGCAAAGCTCGTTCAGCTCATAGTGTCATTGGTGAGGTCTTAAAGTTCTGTTCTTTTGGTCATTGTTATTAATATTCTTTTCTTTCTTTCAGGTTTTGTAAGGAACCTAGAAAAGTGGTAGGGAAAGAAAACTTAAAGGACAGTAGAGGAGAAATTTGAATTTAAATAAAATTTCGGAGCAAGCGAAATTTTAGTTCCAATTTAACAAGTGAATTAGACTTTCTTCAAACCTCATTTTATTCATTCTTTTATCATATAGAGGCTAAAAATATTTTTTATGTAAATTCGGAGTGTTCACTCAATTTTTTTCATTCATATGTTCCAATTTATTTTACTTTCCATCATTTGCAATGGAGCCAAAGATTCATTATTTTTTGGCTTGAGATTATGATGGAATAAAGCAAAATGGCTCACTAAACTGTCTGCGCTTCTTTGTTATGAAGCAACAGTCAGTCCATGCAATTTTGGACGGGATTTTCACTATGGGTCATTCGGAAACAGTCTCTTTGTGCTTTAGTACAGGGGTAAGACTGCGTACATCTTACTCCCCCTTACCCCACCGTAGGTGGGAGCCTTTGCGGCATTGGGGTAAATGAAAATGAAATGAAATGATATGTTCCAATTTAAAACCAAACAGAAGAAAGAGTTTCTTTGCCTTCCCCCATTCTCAACCATTTTCCACATTCCAAACTTAGTCTAAAAAAATCAGTAAACTTTGTTGAATAAACCTAGAAAATGGCCACCAAATGATTACACCCATCTTTCTGGGAAGCTAAAATTGCTTTATCTATTAAATAGGGGAAGTTTCCCAAAATAGGAGTAAAAAACAATGTCGATATTCAAAATAGGAGCACTATGTTTTTTCCCGAATTAAGAGTTAATTATTTCATATTTTGGCATTACCGGACATTAATATGAGCATATGACAGTTTTAGTGCCATATGCGGTAGTATTTTCCAAACATGCTAGTAAGTACTACGTACTATTTTTGGTAAAAACGCGGTACTTCTACTTTGGAATTTTACATTGTTTTAAATTCTATTTAGGGCAATTTACGATTAAATAACAAGCTTAGCAAAGTTATCAAGATTAGGAGACGTAGAATACCATTTAGTCCACATTATTTATTTATTTATTTATTTTCTTTTATATCCATAAACTTTTTGAATAAGAAATGGTCAATTTTAGATCCTTGGCCATAATACGTTACTCCTGAGCTCTCAACTAATAGGGTAGCAAGATCACCATTCCATAATTTTATCTACTTATTACATTTCACGATTTTGCTTAGGCTTATGTTTCGAAAAACGAACTGAAACTCAATTGTATTTTTTGGTTTAGAGATCATTTTTGGAGCTGGATAAAAATTGCTGAAAACTGAATTTCTAGTTGAATAAAATAGACTCATTTCACACATCTGAAATAGCGACTGAAAATGTAAAATTACCATAAAAAAATGTTTTAATAGAAATAAGATAATATTTGAATAGCAGGAGGGTAAAGTTGATACGAGCTTGCTGTAAATTAAAAGGCTAGATCGAAACGCTACAATTAATGTTTCAAATCAGTTGATTAATTTTAGATCCTACCAAAGTTCAGCTCTTCATCCAAACAAGGCTATATGTAAATTAATTTTCTGCATGGTCAAATTTCAGCTCATTTGAAGCTGAAATGGTGATGCAAACATAGCCTTGTGTTTCCTCTAATTAATTGAGATTAATATTAATTGAGATTAATGAAAACACATGATACTGTTGTATATTAGGCACACCGGAGTTCATGGCTCCAGAACTGTATGAGGAGGAATATAATGAACTTGTAGACATATACGCCTTTGGTATGTGCTTGCTGGAGCTTGTGACTTTTGAGTATCCATATGTTGAATGTGCCAATGCTGCTCAAATATTCAAGAAAGTGACAGCAGTAAGCATTCAAAAATTCTTCTTTTAATGTCTATAAATCCATCCTACTCTTAATTACTTCTTTCATATATATAGATTAAAGATCAAATGAGAACAGTGCTTAACGTCAGAACGTGAGAACACCACATTTACCCCAACGTGTTGCACAATGAAGCTTCTATATTGCACTTTTTCGCGTTGTCACAATATTTACCAAAATGCCACCATGTTTATTTATGCTTAATTCAATAGAAGAACTCAATTGTGTGCACCACATTAATTTAAATGTGAGTGTTCTCACTGGAGCTCCCAACCGGAACCGCTGTGTGCAGGGCTCCATTTGAGGTGCTTTCGGGTGAATTTTTTTGATGAAATTTTGTGACCATGTTCTCCATGAAGTGTAGATATGTCCACCAAAGTTAAGCTTAACATTCAACCGGGAAGTCAGTTAAATAAATTATTATTGAAAATCACTCGCTTTTTATAAGTACTACATTTTTTATATGTATAAAAAGCGCAATGTTTTTCAATAATTTATTAACTTACTTCCTGATTGAATTTTCAATTGAAATTTGGTGGACAAAATCTACACTCCATGGAGAACACGCTCACAAAATTTCTTAAAAAAATCCACCCAGAAGCACCTCAAATGGAGCCCCTGATATGAACCGCTCTCTCTCTCTATATATTTATTAAGTGTACTTCATTGGCTGCTTCATATATCAACTATGAACGCGAAGCTTAAAAATGGGTGTTTTTTTGGGAAAAGGGCCAATTTGACCCTTTTACTATTTCAAATATATCACTTGAACCCTTCATATTACTTATAGATTTTGAAATTTTTACGTTTTTACTTCCTTATTTTTCTAGATTGTACGTCTTCTTTCCATATTTTTAATCAATTGTTACCAATTTTTTTAAAAAGTGACCATTAATAGAAGGTTCAATTCTGCTGGGGATTGACTATTTTTTTTAAAGTTAAGTGTGTTTACATGAGTTTTTACAAGTATAGGGGTGTAGATTGGATTGAAATAGTATGAGGGTCTATCTCACATTTTAATAATACTGAATGTTGCAAATGGAGTTTGGATAAAAGATAGGTGTTAATTTGGCTATACCGTAACTAGACTGTTAGCATGTATCAGTATTGTTTTGTAAAACATTAAATTATTCATGATTTTAAACTTCTTGTTGTGAATCTATAGTTCTTGATTTTCAAATACTATTTTAATCTCTTTTCACCTTCTTTTAAGATGAGTCAACTTGATACATTTAGTTTGCGTTTGGTAACTGTTATCTGGTTGAATTTGGTGTATAGAGCGGCCTGGTGCATATTGCTTTTCCCGCAAAGCGAGGGTTCGGGGAAGTGTTCCACCTCAAGAGTGTATAAGGGGCAAGTGTTCCCTTGTCATTTTGACAAGAGGTCGTACAATACCTGAATCCATGACCTCTGGGTCACAAGGCAACACCTTAAACGGTGCACCAAGGCTCCATTTCGTAAATCTTCTTAATTATATTGAAGGAAAACGGTTTAGTTAAATCGCTTTCAGCATCAGTACAACAAAAACAACATTACCCCAGTGCCGGGAAGGCTCCCACCTATGGTGGGGTAAGGGGGTCGGATGTGCGCAGCCTTACCCCGATACTAAAGCAAAAAGAGACTGTTTATGGATGACCCATGATATTTTGCATAATAAAGAAGCGCAAACAGTTTAGTGAGTCACTTTGCTTTATTCCATGATATTCCCAAGCTAAAGAGACTTATTTTGTTGATCAGAGCAAGTCTTATAATGTCAACCAAAATGAGCCTGAAACTAACATTGTGGCGGACAGAAAATCCATTTTTTTTACGATGGAATAAAGAAAAATGGCTCACTAAACTGTTCGCGCTTCTTTGTTATGAAGCAATAGTCCGTCCATGCAATTTTCGACGTGATTTTCATCATAGATCATCAGGAAACAATGTGTCTGTGCTTTAAACAAGGGTTAGGGTGCGTACATCCGACTCGGGTTGTAAACGAATCGAATCGAACTGAATACTTGATAATATTATTCGTATTCGTATAATTATCGAATATTCATATTCGTATTCGTTTAAAATTCGAATCTTATTTTGTATTCATATTCGATTCGTTTGATATATTCGAATCTTTTTCGAATCGAATTCGAATATTCGAATTCAAAAAACATTAAAGTTAATTTGTGAAAATAATTAAAATTATGATGTTAGTTTGCCCCTTTTAACTAATTTTAATATTACATATTTTATAGGAAACAAAATTCATTTATAGAAGTCACTTCAAATTTAATATCAATATAGATAAATCAACGGAGAATTTTAATTGTAAATTAAGCTATTTTGACCTGGTAAAGTAAGAATTTTTAAATTAAAATATGCAAAATATTTACATGAATATTTTATTATTAATATTTTTACATTGAACTATATGTATTCATAAGAAGTAGTTTATATTGTATGAATATATAAATATATAAATATATATATATATATATATATATAAAATTCGAATATATTCGAATATTATTCGAATCGAATATCATAGTATTTGTATTCGTATTCGTAAAGTATTCAACAACAACATCCAAGCCTTAATCCCAAAAGAATTTGGGGCCGGCTAACATGAATCGATCTATGATATCGATGCCAAAAAGAGAAGGCGGACAAGAAAAGGAAAAAAGTAAGATAAAATGAATAAAATAAAGATACATAAATATAAGATTCGTATTCGTAAAGTATTCGAATCAAAAAATATATTTTTATTCATATTCGTATTCTACTTGCTCGAATTCGAATCGGCATTTTCGAATTCGAATCACGAATCGAATCAGAATTATTCGATTCGTTTACAACCCTACCCTTACACCACCATGAGCGGGAGCCCTTGCGGCACTGGGGTAATATTGTTGTGGTTTTGTTGTTGTATTCATATATGAATCTTGTGTCCGCCTTTTCACGAATAGTAAAGGAAAGGTGACCTATATTATTGCTTCTCTCATAACTTAATTTGTTGGAGCTTTGGATTGGAACACCCTTATAAATTAGAGGTTCTATACTCCGACGTCAAAAAAATGGTTTAGCAGGAGTAGAAATAACAAATTTGTAGAGTGTGTTCAAAATGAATTAGAAAACTTAATCACGTTGTTTCAATGTTGTGAAATGAATCTTTATGTGACTAAAACATTCATAGATTCCTAATATATGGCTAACAAACCTAAACATGTCTATATATGAGTTATAATTAATTTGGAGGGAGAAAAAGTAGCATCAAAACACGTACATTACATGCAAATCACCACTAATATAGGAATAAAAACTGTTTAGTCACATTTTTAGAATAACCATTTCTTTTAGTCATACTCGTAGTAATTTTCTCTTTAATTTTTGCACATTTGAACCAAAATGCTTCAAATCACCTCTCTCATGTAGCAAGAGCTATGTGACTTCAGGTAGGAAATTAAAATACAAGGCAGTAGGCTTTTCGCATTGGAAATGGTGAAAACCCATAGCAACTGGTTCAAGATTATGAGTAATGTTTGTGTATTTAACTAGCTTTCCTTATCTCGGTTGTTTCCTACGGAGTATTATTTAACCTTCCACATTTCAGTCAATATCTTGTTTCTGAGTTTGAAATTGTTTAGAACTCTTAACACCTTAGCTTCAAATCCTTCTCTTTTCATCATCGACGGCCATGGACCAGATCTTATACCTAGTCCTTTAACACATTTTGTTATCAAATCAGATCCGATTGGACCAGAAAGATTCATAACAGTAAGAAAGTTAGACCAGATTAAAAACATTCTGATATGAGCTGATCAAATATAATTAGAAACATTACAATTTGCGGCACTGGGGTAATGATGATGAATGGATGGATGAATGACAAGTCCTTTCTAGCATGCTTTTCTATTGAATGTACTGTTAATATATAATTTTAAATGTTTTACTTCAACGGAAAATGATTTTGGTTATTCTTTCTTCTGATATGGAAGGGAATCAAGCCAGCATCATTAGCAAAGGTAAAGAATCCTGGAGTGAAAGAATTTATAGAAAAGTGCATTGCAAAAGCCTCTGAACGCTTGTCTGCCAAGGAACTGTTAATGGATCCTTTTCTCATGTCAGATGACGATTCCGGAAGCTTAGCTCGCACATCCATTCTTCCACATCCAGGCGTGTTTCTATTATTTACTGAGTTTTCATTTTTTGGTTATTATTATTATTATGTTTACAGAAGTTTGTTCTTCATAACAATATCTAAAATTGATGAAAAATTTGCAGATAGCAGTCATCACACTTATGAACCCAACAGTTCAAAGACGGGAGAACTTCTACTGCCCGAGGGCAGCCGGGACTTTACAGTGCAGGGACAAAGAAAGGACATGAATACAATTTTCTTGAAACTACGGATTGCTGATTCTTCAGGTACATTTTTGTCCTGCCAAATGTAGATCCATATTGGCACTCAACTATGCAATTTGGACCCAATTTAGTGCTCAGCATATGAAAATACCCTTCTTTACTGGAGGAAGCTGTGCATGAGGACTAATTTGAGTCAAAATTGCAGTCACGAACCAAATAGAGTCCAATTGAAAGGTGAGGACCAACTTGTGTAATAATGTATCGTCAAGGGAACAATCAGGTATTAAATCTTAACAACAACAACATCCAAGCCTTATTCCCTATTAGGAATATATTCTGTTCAACTATTGTACCTAACTAACTAACTACTGTTAGCATTCTCTCGTATGCTAGTTAAGTAGTTAGCAGTATATTCCAGTCTATAAATACATAGTAAAGTCGACCGTTCTCTCTAAATAATAATCTTATCATTTCTCTCTTATTCTGATTGCACTGTGTTTCTCAATATGGTATCTAGAGCTTGAGTTTTTTTATCATGGCACCATTGTCAACCATCACTTCATCCACCACTTCATCCGCCGGAAATACTCCATTTCCAGTGAGCTTTTCACATCCTCTTCCTCTCAAACTCGATTCGAACAACTTTCTTTTCTGGAAACATCACGCCCATAATCTGTCATTCGAGCACACTAACTTCTGAAATATGTCATCGATCCTGTTATACTTCCGCAATATCTCAACAGTGAACATGAAGCAAATGGTACGATCAATGAAACCTTCGTTACCTGGGAACAACAGGACCAAATGCTTTTCTCCTGGCTTCTATCCTCACTATCCGAGAGTTTACATGCTCGAGTGATTCATTGCACTCGCTCATATCAGCTATGGGATGAACTTCACAAATTTGTTTCAATCCAACATCATTGCGAAGGCGAGGCAACTCAAATCGGAGCTCTATTCGCAAACTGCGTGATTCATCACAAAACTCACAATCTACGCTATTCTCAGCATTGAAGAACTATCAACCAATAATTCTCAGCCTCAGAATCCACAGGAGAATTCAGTTCAATTTGCTCAATTTGACAATGCATAACGAGGTGGTAATCAATTCCGAGGAAGAGGATGTAACTCTAATTCGAGAGGTGGCTCTCGTGGAGGAGGCAGATCTTGTGGTCTGTGGAAAACAAGGACACAATGCTCTCATGTGTTATCATTGTTTCAACCCTAATTATCACACCTCACAACCAACATCTACCTATCCTCAATATCCTATGCCTCGTCCACCTCCACTTACACCTCTACGGCTCTACCTATTCACCAATGATTCAATATCATCAATCATCTCCCAAACCTGTACCTCCAGAAACTTCAACTTCAAACTGGCGGCCACACTTTAATCCATCAGGACATCATCCATCTGCAACTTGTTCATATGCTAATTCTTCTATACTGGGACCTGCACCTAATCAGCTTCCATCTTCAGTTCAGCCATGGTTTCCTGATTCAGGTGCAACACACCATGTTACTGCAGATCCAACAAACATTCAGCATCATGAGACATCAGTTATGACTATTGATAAGTTTTTTATGGGCAATGGACAAGGTTTGGCTATTAAGTCTACTGGTTTTTCTTCATTTCTGTCACCTTATAATCCCTCCCTTTCCCTTACTCTCAAAAATATGCTTTATGCCTACAATCACTAAGAATCTGATTAGTGTCGGTAAGTTTGCTAAGGACAATCATGTATTCTTTGAATTCTATCCTTATGAATGTTATGTCAAATATCAGGATTCTAAACAGGTTCTTATGCATGGTATGCTTGGAAGTGATGGTCTCTACAGATTTGATTCATTTCGAGATCTTGCTTCAGTTCCAGATGTTTCAGTTGGTAATCTCAGTCAAAAGTCTACTCCTAGATATAGCCAGTAGTCAGAAACCAAGCTCTGGGAGTTTGTTTTAAACCATAGATAGCTTTATTGAGCTTACAAACCGTGATTTATCAGAAGATTGAAAGCCTGGAGGTTGCACCATGTACACTTCTTCTTGTAAGTCACCATTTAGGAAGGCATTATGAACATCAAGTTGTTGAATAGTCCAAGAATTAGAAATAGCAATGGATAATAGGATTCTGATAGTTATAGGTTTGACCACAGGAGAAAAGGTTTCACAGAAATCAAAGCCAAATTGTTGATGAAAACCTTTTGCTACTGGCTATATCTAGCAGCAGTGTTATACTCATTTGGTTTCAAACAATCTAAGTGCGATGCCTCATTGCTCTTCTATCTTTCCAGTACAATTCAGATCTATGTGTTGATCTATGTTGATGACATCCTTTTTATTGGAAATAACACTACTGCTATTCAGCATCTTATTCAAAAACTCGACTCCAACTTTTCACTAAAGCATTTGGGGGAGCTTGATTATTTTCTGGGGATTGAAACTCAAAGACTTCCTGATGGTAGTACACATCTCTCACAGACAAAATATATCAGGGATCTGTTGGATAAAGCAGGCATGAGAGACTCTAAAGGTATCACAACACCAATGTTCAGTAGTTGCAAACTTCTAAAAGAAAGATGCAACTATGTAAATGATTCCACTCATTACAGATCTATAGTAGGAGCTCTACAATATGTTACCCCCAGCAAGGCCAGAATATCAGCTATGCAGTCAACAAAGTGTGTCAGTTTATGGCATCACCTTTAGAAGACCACTGAAAGGCAGTGAAACGTATATTAAGATACCTTTCTGGTACACTTAAAAATGGTCTCCTACTTCAACCAATTGCTTCAAGATCACCTATTCAACTAAGGGCTTTTTGTGATGGTGATTGGGCCTCAGATCCCAATGATAGAAGGTCAACATCTGGTTTTTGTGTATTCTTAGGACCTAATCTAATCTCTTGGTGGTCAAGAAAGCAACTGTGTGTTGCTGGGTCTTCAGCTGAAGCTGAATTCAGAAGCCTAGCTGATACTGCAGCTGAGATTTTATGGATTCAGTACCTACTTCAGGAGATTCAAGTTCCATACTCTATTCCTCAAATCTACTGTGACAATCTCAGTGCAGTTCATCTGGCTCATAATCCTGTTTTTCATTCAAGAATCAAACATATGGAACTTGATCTCTACTTTGTCAGAGAGAAGATTCTTCATAAAAGTCTCCACGTGCAGCACATTCCTGGTCTCTATCAAGTTGCTGATGTGCTGACTAAACCACTCTCACCCTCCAGATTTCTTGAGTTGAAAAACAAACTCAATGTGATTGAATTTGAAAAGAAATCACACTGAGTTTGAGGGGGGAATATTAGGAATATATTTTCTTCAACTATTGTACCTAACCAACTAACTATCGTAGTTTTAGTTCAAGTAGGACAAGCTTAAGTCAGTCCGGTCAATCAATCAATCAAGCATTCCATAGAGGCTTTCCCCGAGCAAAGAAGGTGAAAGGGGCTTAAACCGAGTCTGAATGTCAGCGTCTTCCTTTTTCCCTCACATTCTAGCATTATAGAAAACTATCCTTGATAGCGGCTGGGTAGGCTGACTCTCCTAGTTCTAACTCCTCGGCAGGGAAGGCCAGTGAAAGCAATAAACAATAAAAAAACCGATGGGCTTTCCCCGATCTGACTAGGCTTATATAAGTCATTGGACTTACTTGAATGACTGAATTTAGCATTCTCTCGTATGTTAGTTAAGTAGTTAGCTGTATATTCCAGTCTATAAATACATAGTAAAGTGGACCATTCTCTCTAAATAATAATCTGATCATTTCTCTCTTATTTTGATTGCACTGTGTTTCTCAATATTCCCAAAAGGTTTTGGGGTCGACTAACATGAATTGATCCATGATATCAGAGCAAAAAGGTGAAGCAGATAAGAAAAATAAAAAGATAAGGTAAGATAAAATGGATAAGATAAAAATAACATAAGAACATAAGATAGATAAAATATAAAGGACACAATAAAAATAAAAGATGAAAATAACATAAGAACACAGAATTATAAATAAAGTAAAAGACAAAAGAAAGAAAGAAAGAAAGAAAGAGAAATGAAAGAAAGCAGATCAATCATCCACACGTATATGCGCCACGCCCTCCACTTTGTTTTGTCCAAAGTTATACCCTCATCCAACTCAAGAAGAAGCATATCAATTCTGATTCCTCTAATCCAAGTCTATTTGAGTCTTCCTCTCCCCTCCTACCTGTCTGTTCTCTTCGGCTCTCAACTCATCTAACAGGTGCATCACTCAGTCTTCTACGCACATTACTAAACCTTGGCAATTGAGACTCTTGGATCTTATCTTCTATATGTGCTACTCCCACTTTTTGTCTGATTATCTTATGGCTCAAGCGGTTTTTTCGTATGTCCACACATCCAACGTAACATACGCATCTTTGACACACTCATCTTTTGAATGTGACATTGTTTCACCATCCAACACTTTGCGTCATACAGACCTAATTGTTATTCGATAAAATTTACCCTTTAATCTAGTCGCCATACCTCGATCACATAAAAATTCAGATGCACTCTTCCACTTCATCCTCTCTGCTCTGATTATATGGGATACGTCTCCATCTTATTCACCATCCTTGTGAATTATAGAGCCCAAATAACGAAACATATCACACACCGGTATTTCTTTGCCATCAAGGGTAATCCCACTCGCACTACTACTTCTACCTTTACCAAACTTGCACTCCGTATACTCAGTTTTACTTTGACTCAGTTTGAAACCCCTGGTCTCCAAAGTTGTCGCCATACTTCCAACTTTGTTTTAACCCGCCATTGTGTCACGTCAATCAATACAATATCGTCGGCAAACATCATGCACCACGGTATATCTTCTTGAATTGACTTTGTAAGCTCATCCATTACTATAACAAATAAGAAAGAACTCAGAGCTGATTATCTCATTCCTCAAACGGTCTTTTCTGGTATGTCCACACATCCAACGCAACATACGCATCTCTGCCACACTCATTTTTTGAATGTGACATTGCTTCACCGCCCAACACTCCACGCCATACATTAATGCAGGCCTAATTGCTGTTCGATAAAACTTA